GTCCGTCCGTCCGTCGTCGTCTGGGATTGCCATCCTGCTATATCTTGCTTAATTTTTGTCCATGGCCCATGACCCTTGATTTTTTGAGGGGTGGTGGTTTAGATGATGTGCTCCTTGTCCGTTCATCCTGTTTTAAGTTGTTGGTGATTCGGTGCCTTTCCAAGGTTGACCCAACAAGTCTTCCATGAGCCCATGCTTTGGATCTTAGAGTTCGAGCCATTCCCGGCCCCCATTCTTGGCCCATAGCTGCTCGGCGTCGTGTTTGGACGGCTCAAAACAGCTTGGCCCAAAAGCCCTGCGCTCCGCGCGCGGTGCCACCGCGCGCCGTTCGGCGGGGCCGCAGCCCATGCCGCGGCGGCCGCGGCGGGAGACCTTGGTGCCAGAATCTCATCTGAGATCATCTGAGTCTAATTTTATAGGCACTGTACCTTAAAAAGAGACACGGCTCGTTTGAGATTCACGTGTTGACCTGTTCAGCTTATGAGATCATCTTAGATTCGGCGAACCATGGTCTTTAAGGCTCTGCCAAATCCGCTTGGGACGGGGTCCGGAAGTCTTGGACTGGTTACACCATCTCTCAAAGTGCTCGTGGACCGAACGATGCATGGCCGGCCCTTCACGCAACCATCGACCTTGACGGGCACAGTCGATGTGCCGGTCCCCACCGAGGAGCCCAAGCGGCCGAAGCCCAATGAGACGCTGCTGAAGAGCCGATGCCGCTGCGAATGCACCGCAGGGTCTCAGGGTGGAAGTGGGGAGGAAGTGGCATCATCCCAAGCAGACACCAGGCTGAACACTGTGGCCTCCAACTTCACGAAGTGGCCTCAAACACCTGGCAGATCTTGCCCAATGAACTAATCTGGAGGAAGGACCTAAGGAGCTGAGTGTTTCAGAACTTCATTTTGCAATGTTGGGTGTTGATGACAGGGAACACCCAGGGATGTGTTTTTGTTTCATAATCAATGTAGACTCTTGATTATATAACAACCCCCATGTGGATTGTAAGACCTTCATATTGGTGCGGTTTATGAATCAAGAGTCTACATGATTAGCGGAATCGTTGAAATGTCCGTCTCTGTCGCGAACATCGCGGGCGAGAGCCACGCCGAGGCACCACTGTGGCGGATGCAATCAGCCAAGCCGAGATGCCTGACGATTGCCACACGGAGAAGCCGAAAAGAGGAAGCAAATAGATTGTGATGGACAAGCAGATCCCTACTTTAAAAATATTTGGAAGCCGTTTCTATCTATTCCGGGATCTCTAGGATCATCCGGCCAAAATGTTTTGGCCCTGATCAGGTGGCAAAGAAGCTGTTGGCAGTGTTGGCATTGGGGAGTCCAAACTGCGCAACGTATTGAAACCGATGACGGCCATCAAATCAGGCTCAGGCCATCAACCTGTACCGAGCGAGATTTGCGGACGGCCACTAGCAGGCGGTTCTTCATTCTCCTTCCTTGAAGCTCCATCCTCGCACAGGTTGAACCAAAGGGTCCAAAGACCATATAAGCAGCAGCACAGACATATGCATACACATTCTAAGAGATTTCTTTTACAAGAAAGGCTGATCAGATCACCTCACGGAAACCAACATACTTGCAGATCCTATAAAGAGATCTAAAGAGAATAGACAAGCAAAAAGAGACTAGTCCGCTTGTTCCATGCCGCGGATGGCTGGATTCCATGCCGTGGTCTTAGCACTCCAAGTCCATCCGTCAGTGTTCTTGCCAAGGTAAAGCTATGCTTCGTGAGGCAATTCCTTTGACCCTTGGGGTTCCGGCCGCCTGGCGGGACGACGTTCGCTTTTGGGGGGGGGCAGAAAATGGCCGGATTGCAGGATTTGCTTTCTCTTCCAATCTTTGTGAGGAAGCCACACTGAAGATCGAACACTGAAGGTCTTCTGTCTGAAGAATTGTGATTCAAGCTGTCCTCCAAAAAGCGCCTCTTCCCCTCACAAGTGCCTCGAGAGGTTTCACCCCTTGTGTGAAAACTAGCCATCTACAACTCGCCACCCAACCAATTGTGGTGCTTCAATTGCCAGTTTCATTACTTCAAACCACTAAATACTACTTGCTTTACGAGAAGGAAGGGACATCAAACCTAAGTATAAAAGATACGTCTTTGATCGTTTAATCTCTTTGAGGTACACCTGAAAACCCCCCCGAACACCCAACCTTTGGACTTCGAAACGATCAAAACATCATCTCCAGACTCCGTCCGAGTCCATCAGGTCAAAGAGCGCGATCGGCGGCAAAGTGCCATCGCCCAGTTCATCGGCCAGGTCTTGATGGAGCCTGGGCCCCTCCTCGCGCGCGCGCTGGGGTCGGGTCGCGCGCTACCGCGGGTCGGGTCGGGCCAAGCGCGCAGATCGGGTCTTGGAGGCTTTCGGTCGGGTCGGCGCGTGCCTTTCGGTCGGTTCGGTTGGGGTTCGGTAGGTTGTCTTTGGGAGGGATAGCTTGCTTGGGGTACAGGGATTTGGTGGTTGAGGTGAGGGCGTCAGAGTCAACAGGTGTTTACTTTTGGGGTTGAGGCGGGCATTCTCAGCTTGGTGCTCCCTGCACCCGTCTCTGCCATGCGATCGACAGAAGTGATTCCAGAGGGAAGCTCACTACGTAGACCATCAAACAGGGTGTCCATGGGAGATGTTTAATTAGTGTAGGCTGTAGGGTAGTCTATTGGACACCCCGCCGGGCGGAGCCTAAGTTGTGAACGCGGAATTTGCTCGCCTGCACACGCGCTTGGATTTGCTCGGTTGTGCACGCGCTCCCTCGGTTGCGCACGCCGCTTTGCTCGGCTGAATGAATGAATGAAATTAAATGAATGAAATGAAACGAAACGAAACGGAATGAAATGAAATGAAATGAAAAAAATGAAATGAAATGAAATGAAGAGAAATGAACTGAACTGAACTGACTGACTGACTGACTGAATGAATGAATGAATGAACGAAGGATGCAGAGCATTTGTGTCACATGGTACTGTGGAAGCAATGAGCAAAAAGAGATCATCATGTAGATGAATGTCCAGAGGGACGTTATTGACACGAGCATGTCCGTGGAGACCTGACCCAACGACATATCATGAAAGAATGACATATCGTGTACACATCACATCAACTTAATTTGTGTGCGCGTAGGTGAGCGAAATCTGTGTGCGTAGCTGAGTTTGAGGTAACATGCACTGTTTACAGAAGAATGTAATCGATGTGTGCGCAGCTGAGCGAGCCCTGTGTGCGCAGGTGAGTTAAATGTATCATGAAATGTTGCATGCGCAGCTGAGCGAATCCTGCGTGCGCAAGTGAGGCGCCGTCCCCCCGAGAGGATGGTCCTGGCATCCAATTCTCTTGTTATGCAATTGCCAGGGCCTTTTAGAGACTGCCACAGGGGTGGTGTTAGCCACCTGTCTCGGTTCTATGAAGAGCATGATTGGACTTCCTGGTGTACCAATGGTCCTTCGTGGCTTCTTTTATCCATGAACTCTTTTGGTGCTCAACTTGCTGTCGTGCTTTGTCGGGCCTTTTCTTTCAACTTGGTTTCCAGTCGGAACACATGAAGTACGTTCAGCACTGGCAAAACTGCAGTATCCACAGCGCACGGTTCCACAGTACACGAGTGAAGCAACTTCAGCTTAGAGGCACTTCCAAGCTCATGGGTAGCGCCTACCAATCTCACCATGAGACCTGTGGCTTCAAAAGACCTGGCAACTTGCGCATGAAGACACTACCCTGACCAACTTCGAACATCAAAGGTCTGAAGAAAATCAGTTTTCAAAGGTGACATGTTCCACGGAACCATCGAAGTTTGCCAATCATGTATGATTTTCGTACAACCACCTGGTCATTCAGCACGACCTAGTTGATGGAATCCGTGTCCCGTTGGTTGATGCACCGAACACCCGCGTTTAAGATAGAAAGACGGAACATGTTTGGCGATTTGGCCGAGGAAATGGAGGCCCAGTTACTGGAACAGCTGCTGGAAAGCAAGATGTCATCTCGCGAAGAGGCACGGCCATGGATGATCCTCGTACTACTCATCCAACGAATGCCGTCAGCACCGGACGGTTTTTTTCCGCGAGAAACATTGGAACACCTCGTGGTACTCTACTAGGTGTTAAGGACACATACGTACTGCAAACAGGTGATCGACTACGTCGGACATCGGTGGGATGATTGTAAACTTCGTGAAGAAACTCTCGTGGCCAAGCCATCCGACCTGAACTTTTGTGAGCTCAAAAAAACTGACGTGAAATGCTGGAACGTTGGAAAGGTTTGCCCCAACATGAAGGCCTTTCCAAAAAGGATTCAGAGGGGCTAAAATACTAAACATCCATGTTCCCTGCTAGTAGGGGCAAAACACAAGATTTGCCCCATTGACCATACATACTGACCAAGACGTAGGTAGAAACTTCTGGAATCAAATCAACGGTGTCTTGCGAACAAGGCGGGGCCGGGCCTTCCAATGGGCTTCTGCCAAGCTCCTCTCGGGAAGAGGCTTCCAATGATGATAGCACAGGCGCTCCTAATATACAAAGAGAAGCTCAAACATATGGTGAATGCAAGAAACTATGCACCCTGGACCTATTAATTTTCTTTAGATGGCCAGATGTGACCAACGTCTCCTCCTACAACAGTACAACATACACTTCATGAAATCATAAATCATGGACCACCACCTCTTCGATCCTCGGGAAAAGGGTCATTCTTTCGAAGTGATGCCATCCACTTCCAATATTCCGAGCTGACGGCACAGGTGATCACGGCCCATGTGGAGGCCAAATGCTGCGCTCAGGAGGTCGGGCGCCGTGCCGATACACGGTCGGCACGGACGCTGTTGGTGGATAGTCTGTCTAAAGAAAAACACGTACTGTATTGTACTGTAAAATGAAGAACACATGCTTTTGGGGTTCGGTGCCAAGGAAACCTTCCTGTTTCGGGCGAAGTACGAAGCGAATGGGAGAACCACATGGCTTCTAGAATCCGGTGCCGGACCGGGGGATGGCGCCACAGAAGTTCACCCCACCCAATGACGACCATGGACCCGTGTTCCACCTGGCCGGTCCCGGTCCGCCTGCAAATGAGTGGAAGGAAGTGATTTGGACTGCACAGACAGTGACACAGCAGGACCGGACTGTATACGGACTGCCTTCGCTGACTGCAGGTGCTGACTGCGCGAAAGCTGCAGGAAGAGGCAGAAGAAAGGCGCCGCGTCGAGACTTCGCGCCGCGCTGCGAAGGTCCAGTCGCCTTTGAAGCGCTTCCCCCGGTGATGCGTAGGTGCACATGACAGACATGACAAGGGGGCCATTAAGCAAGGGACCATGGACGAAAAAACATGGCATAACGGCCCCGGGGCCATGGTCCGTGGCTGAACGATTGGTTTACAAAAGGGTCGACCCATTTTTACCACCGCGATGGTCAGGGCAGCCCCCCGCGATGCTCAACGCATGACCGCCAGGTTAGCTGTGCGCTTGTCTGAAGAAGAGGTCACGAAGGTGAAACTGGTCGCTGTGCCTGGGCCGAGCCAGGGACTCTCTGGGAATCTCTGGGACAGGTGGGGGAAAAGCTGGTTCGAACTGGTCAGTTTGAGAAAGGTGATGACCAGGATCCATGATTGGTGGTCATACTTCATCAGGGGTAGCTGAAGGGCCTGCAGCCTCCGTTCTTTCTGGGTCCACTAGAATCACCTTTTGATATCTGTGGGACCTGTCCCCCACCGACTTATCAAATGCCTGCTCACACTTTTGCACCTCATGATCTATTTTGGCTCCATCCAACTGTGAGTACACTCCCTGAAAGCATGGTTCCGTGGAGGGCCCTGAAAGGATTGCCACTTTTCCAAAGACCAAACAGACGGTGAACTTCAGTATAACAAGTTAATGAGATTTTCTTTCAGGTGCAAGCTCTGCCGGCTAGACCTGACCGCATGAAAGAAAGAGTACATAAGTTGTGGAGGCCATCACTAGTTGGTGGCTTTGGAGGCCATCACCTTCCAGTCTGATTGGAGGCCATCGCTGGTAGGTTGGAGGCACCTTCGTGCCTCGGTCGACACCGCGCGGTTCACCGCGCGGCGTCCAAGGTCTCGCAGCAGGTGGCGGAGGCCGAGGCCGAGGTGCGCGCGGCGGAGGCCAAGCGAGAGGCCTTGTTGAAGGACATGGGGTGGAGGGGGTGTCGGGTGTGTAGAGTGGACTTTAAATAGATGGTCAATAGTAGATCCCCACCAAAAAATGTGGACACCGTTTCTATGTTCTGGAGATGTGCGAATGGGAGTGTGGCTAGTATTCTTCTGGAAGTGTCCAGTAATTAGCAATCTCACAAAGATTTGGGATAAACCAGCAACCTGCAGCTACCATAGGGTTTATCACTTCCACATCTTCGTTGATCCTGTCACCTCTCCTGTGCAGGATGCCGAAAAAAATAACACCCAGACAGGACTCATGGGACTGCCATAGGACTGCCGATCAATTGACCCCCAGTCAACCACCCCTGGCCTGATCGGCATATATACCAGTCCCATGGAGTGTTTGGGACAGTTGCATGTGAAAACCGCTTGGGTTTTCCCATGTTTTCCCCCATCATGGGCCATCCAGGTGTTTAGGCCGCTCAACTGGCTCGCCCTCTTGTCTCGCCCAGCCGGCGGGTCAAACCGCGGCGTTGCCGCCGGGTAGGATCACCACGGCATTGAGAAAACGCATTGAGAAAGAGGATAGATGTTCGTTTCAGTTGATTCCTGATTTTGCTGATCAGGTGATTTTGTTCTTGTCCCGAACTTAGGTAAATCCCCAAACCTGGGAACCAGTTTCTATATGTATATTTCCCGGTTCCGAAGCAAGCAAATTCAGGGACAGATGGTTTCAGAAGGGGCGTCAGTTTCTATTGGAACCTCACTGGCTCGTTCGTTCACATCGACGAAGAAAAAACCGATGTAGTGGACCGAGCAAAAGGAAGAAACGAGAACTATAGGGATATAGTTTTCAGTGATCCCCAAATAGATATATAGTCAGATAGTTGACACGGTGTCCAAGACATTTGGATGTGGGGATGTTCTTTTCTATCTACATTGGGGGGTTGTATATGGTTTTCCGTGCTTTTCTCACTCTTCCCACTTTGCCGGCGGCTGTTCCTTTAGGAGCAGGCCCTTTGCAACGCTGCTTGCAGTGTGCTGCAGGGCGAGGACACGTCAGCTGGCTCGAGTGGCTCAGTGGATAGAAAGGCCTTAGCTGCAGTCTGTAAGAGACTGGACCTGGAGGAGCCTTGCTGCCTGTAAGAGACTGGTAAGGGCGGGTTGCCGGGGGCATTGCCGGGATTTCCCAGGTCGGATGCAAGGATTCGTGACTCGTGTGGAGATGTTGGGTGGTTGCAAGCATGTCAGAGACGGATTGTTCAGGATTTGTGGTTTGTATGGTGGGCAGTTGAGGGAGAGATTTTCAAGACGCTTGATCCTGCTATGGAATTGCATGAAAATAGGTGCCGCAGAAGGCAACTGTCGTGGCAGCAAAGGTGCTTTGTGCAAAGTGCATCCTGAGGATGGTTCTGCTTTCGGATTGTAACCAATGGCTGTGGATGTTGTGGGTTTCGTTGTCGGGTTTGTTGATTGATGGTGTTGTGTGGTCCAGCTGCCCATAGAAAGTTTTCAAGTGGCCAACATGTCATGCAGTAGAGATGGGGAACAAGTGGATTTAATATGCAGAACCAACGAAGTTGGGCAACCAACGCCTTCAGATGAGGAGTCGAAAGACGATCTCGCCTCATGTCGCATCTTGGGTTGACATCAAATCGATCCTTCCAAACTCACCTTATGCTAGAACACTTGATCTAAAAACAGCTCCGGAAAGGGCGATGTTGGCAAATGATGGCTAATGCCTCCCCGATGTTTAGGCATGCGGAACACTGAACGCTAGATGTGTATAGAAAGGACAGCACCAGAGAATACTCTCTACTCGTGCAAGCAATGGAAAATGGCTGTTGGAGACAGGTGATGCTTGAAGCCAGTCCAATTGGTTCTAGGATGCTTCGGGGAATATTCAGCAATTCATTATGACATGACCCTGCCAGAACTCTTCAAGAACACATGTGTGCTTCCAAGTACCCCCGGCCTCTCATTCCAAATCCATCCAAGGAATCAGACAACATGTGTTTCTCCTCAGTGCAACACATTCCACTCTAGATCACACTTTCTGACTTCGTGTTCCGACAATGAAGAAACCGAAGGGAAACAAAAGATCCGACTTGGAAGCCTTCCTGTCAAGTCTTTGTGACTTGACAGCGGAGGATTCTTTGTTGAGCACCCTGCCGCTGATCTTGGGGAAGCCTGTGGCAGCGCGCTCATACCTGGAGACGTGGCAACTGTTGAGAGGGTGAGGGTGCACGGCCGCGGCGACCATTCCGTAGGCTTGACGTCCGAAGTAGAAGTAGAAGTACCACCCAGCGACTACCTGACTGAAGAAGCCGACTGTTCCTTTCTTTTCAGCTCTCGAGCTGCAGAGGGCCAACCTTTTTCAACTGTTCCTAGTGGAGTTGGTCACGGCCAGGTGGAGCGAATCGCACGTGGATGGACGCCCCAGGTGTTTGCACGATGAAGACCGGTCGACTCCAGACTCCTCAGTGAGTGAGTTCCTTCATCGACCTACATCCGGATGCTTTGAGTGGGTGAAACCATGGAAGTAGAAGGTAGACGGTATAGTAGAAGTGTATGAATTCATCGGCTTCACATACTGAAACTCTATCTACCTGCTACCTGGGCGAAGCCTGGGCGTTTGGAAGCCGAGGAGACGGCAGCCTCGAATCTCATTTGCGAGGCGCTGAGGAAGCACCTGCAGCAGATGAAGGGGTTGCTGGGCAGTGGATGGACAATGATGGACATGGTGTTGGTGCTGTGTTTCGATGGTTTTTGGCCTGGCTTTGGGTGTGTTGAGCTCCAGGTGAGAAAAGTGCGGACGAGGTCACCCATGGCCAACCATCTCCAGTGAATCCGAGCTAGCAGCGGTTTTGCCATGCAGCTATAGGTGATTGGTGGGGCATCAATTCCAAGTCATGTGTGCCTCAATACCTCAATACAAGCTTCTCATCCACATCCAAGCTGTCATTGTGGTCACTGCTTTTTGTATGAGCTAAAGGAATAGAGCCATGCTTTAGAGCCATGCTGTTGATGGAAAGTCTCTGTCCAGTCACTGCACCACCTGAGACGTGAAATCTTCAATCCGCCGAGACCGGGTGCCTTCAGTCGTGTCACCACAACACTCTCTACAACTCGAGTTATGAAGCTACGAACGGAGCCAAGCAGCTACGAAGGGCGCTCCTGGCATGGCTGTATTATCTAGTAACAAATTAGCCCATGGATGCCCTCAGAATAACTCGAAGCAGTTGCTTGTTTCAACATCAACATCCATCCGCTTCGACCGCTGCAACCCTGACATCTGCGGCTCGCACCTCCACTCGCGCCGGCGACGCCGACCTCGGCACGGTCCGCGCAGTCCGTCGCTCATCACCTCGTCACCTCGCCGAGTCTGGTCGAGCCTTCCTGCGCCCAGGCAGGAGTCTTCGCCCATCACCGAAGATCAAGAGCTCCAGTGGCCTGGCGAAGAAGATACACATCGTGGGGCCGAAGCGTGGGAGAGGGGGAGAGGGGCAGAGGGGGAGATAGCGAGCGAGCTTGACCACGGAGTGGGAGCCTGTTTGTAATTTGGGAATCATGGGTGGTGAATTCTTTGCCTCAAGAGTTTTTTCCAAAGGGTCGGATTCCGATGTTCATGTTTGCTTTCCTTGGAGCGGTATTCGAAAGTCTGAGACCAATGGCTGCAAATTGTTTGCCATGGTCAACCAGGCACGCAAGGTCCTAGTTCGGCGAGAGAGCACGGATCCTGATTATCACCTCCATTTACCTCCACAACTTCACTGCCACCTTCAGGTGTTTTTCGGCCAACTCTTCCCAGGGCTACATCCAGGGTGCATGGAGGAGAGGGGCATGGACTCCATCAAACCACATCAAACCCAGTGAATCAGTTCTCCGAATCTGGGAGCGAGTTTGATCAGGTGTTCAGGGTATGGAAAAGAAACGACCGATCCTTTTTGGGGATGGGAAGCCACCTGGAGCCTGCCAGATTGTGGGATGCCTATATCCTGTACTCGAGATCACGGTCTTTTGCTGAAGTTGAGAACCAAAACTTGGGTGGATGCTGATACTGGAGATGGCAGAGATTTGGTTCATTGACCCTCATCGCAAGATGTACTTGTGAGAGACAAGAATGACCATCTCCGTACTCGGACCTTACGTTTGTTGCGCGTGATTCATGCTTATTCCTGATTAGATCAGGTTCATTGAGTCGTTCTTTTTTCCACCACCAAAGACTCTAGGAGACTCTATAGGCCTGTTGATGACTTCACCCAAACATCAAAACATATCAAAAGCATTTAAAATTCAAAGAACCACACCATCAGGGTGCACGATTCTACGAGACCGTACCGCATGCGTCACCATTTGAGGCGTACCTTGGAGGCCCTGCGTGGGGCGCAGCGAGCCACCGAGGCAGAACGAGCTGACGCTGGGGCGATGGACTGGTCGACTGGCGATCGGAGAAGAACGAAGAACCAAAGGACATCAAAGAACGCTTCGAAGAACTCTACCAGGGCCTTCAAGGGGTGGTTCATGGACACCCCGAATTCACCGCGTTTCGGGGCTATAAAGTGGGCTATAAATAGACACCCCGACAGGAGGGGTCCTGGTAGTGTCTGTCCCATGATGTGTAACAGTCAAAAAAAAAAACCTTTTGAGAGAGGCCTCTACCAACCATCATCATCCACTGTTGAATGACTCAAAACATCACCCACTCATGAGAGGTCTCAATCAAATTGGAGCGCTAGTAGTAACAGGTGCCTTACTAGTAGTAACAAGAAGCTAGTAGAAACAAGTGCCACCCTAGTAGTAACGGAGGTGCCTGGACCCACCCACGTCGGGAAGTGGGATTTGTGCGCTGAAACTCTGCAGCCGGGAGGGCAGTCGATCCGAGTTGCACGGATGGTTTGGACAGCGAGGTATTAGGGGTGTGATGGCGGGGTATTAGGTATAAGTGTGTAATTATAAATCATGATAAATCAAACATATATTGTGTTGTTGTTAAACGTTTTTAAGCCTTTGTTCACTGTTCCCCCGGTGGATTTGAAATCCCACAAAGCGGGGATCGGTTCCATCTGCCATCGGTTTCTCAGGAAAAGCTACGCCTGGCACAAGAGGCCAGGGAAGAGTTGAAGCAACAGGAGGTCTTGCTGCAGCAGAAGCAACGTACGGAGCGCAGAAGCATTCCGCGCGTCGTTGGATGGGGAACATGCGAGGAACTACCTTTGGTGGAGCCAGTCATGTGTGATGTCCCGAAGTATACATGAATGAATTAATGACTATACGTCAGGTCCAACACGACTATGACATCATATATTAATATATATATATATACCAGCAACCTTAGCAACCTTCAGGTCCCCACCACCTGCTGTGTCTTTCAAAAGCATGCCATGTCAGAGACCTGTGGAATTCGGGTGCTAGGTCTGCTAGGTTTCTTCATGTCAATTCCATGGGTTCTCCAGTTTGGGGCACCTCCAGGAGACCTCCGCCTGGGCTCGCCTTCAAGATGCCAAGACCGGCGCCGCGAACGCGGCCAGCGCGGCCTGCGCGGCACGTGCCACGTTGGCCTCCGGCGCCCTGCAGAGGCTCCGACGCGGCGCGGCGAGCGCCTACGAGGCTCTGGAGGGGCCGGAGATGACCTCAAACGTCACGCAGGACTTGCAGGACCGGGTGGCGGCTTGGGGGCGGGGTGATGGGGCAAGTGGTCCGTTCCGGGAAACAAGGAAGGTGGGCGTGGGCCTTTAGACGATTGACTTTGGGGATTTTTGAGGTCTTCCAACGTGATGCCTTTCTGCGTTCGGAGGAAGCTGGTGGGGGTGCTTTACATTAATTTCCGGAAGGTTTTAGTCCAAAGTAGCCAGCAATCACAATTTGCAGTGTCTTGGAATGTTCCCTTAGTGTTTCAGGGTTCGTGAGGATTCCACCCCCACACGGACTCCATCGTATTCCATATATATGTTTCTGATGTACACTGCACACCTCCTGAAATTCACACCTTAGGCGATCGATGCCTCAATCAAAGATCAAGCGATTCTCCATCGATCTTCCACCTCCCCGGCACTCAGAGCAGCGACTCGGCGGACTCGGAGCGGACGACGCGCTCCGCGGCAGCGAGGAGAAGATCACTCAAATCGATCAGAGCAACGAACGGGAGGCAGAGAAACGCCCCTTGGGCCCGTGAAAACGCACAGAGAAGGACAACAAACTGCAGTTGATTTAATTTGTGTGCCATATGTCATGCCCAAGTGATGCCAGAGAGTGTGATGCCAGGTGGGCAGTTGGCGATGTGGGAGTTTCATGTGGTGTCCTAAGTCCCAAATTTGGACTATGCCATGTGGAGTAAGGAGGGTTCACCAGAATGTGATCGGAAGGTTCGCCACATTGATTGATTGACCATCTTTATGATCCGACTCTTGCGCAAGCTCCCTGATCAATGTGCTGAATGAAGCTTGCCAGGTACTGCAAGTCTAAGTGCTTCAGAGAACAAGTCACCCTCAATCAAGCAAACATAGAAAACTGAAGCCGCACTTGAAGTAGTCTCGCTGCTTTCTTTGCCATGTTCTCCTCCGCTTCTTCCAACGTTGTTGAGTTGTGGGTCAAAAGAGCTAGAGATCGCGCAGCTTCCCGTAATATCATATGGAGAATCTTCCCAGCGGGAACATACAGAAGACGCTACCGGATGTAGATGAGTATAGTACTTCAATACTTTCACCATGTTTAAACCTCTTTTCGAGCCCTCAAACCCATTCAACCATTCAAACCTCTTTTTGGGCTCGGAATTCCCTCCCCCTCATCCTTCCTCTCCCGCCCGAGGCTACCAACAGCTCCTGCACGACGAGCCGAGCGGCTCGCCCGGCTCGGCGGCTGCTGCGAAGCGGCGGCGCTGGCGGCGCCAGGTGCGGAGCGTCGGGTTTCGCTGGGCAGAGAGAGCTTCGGAAGGATTCCCAAAGGGAGTTCTTCTACACTTCGACTCGCAAGACATGGAAGTAGATGGCATGGTCCCTTGGAAGACGACTTTCCTCTACAAAGGGAAGGTGGAATGTCCACTTCCATCTGACGTGTTCATCGGAGTGCCATCGCTTCTTGACATCCGCATGCAGGCGCCACGGACTGGCCTTGAGGAATGGAACGTGTGCGATGAAAGTAAGGAATGAGGGTGGCTGGATCCCGAGGAATCTACATTTGGAGGGTGATGACCTCATAGACGGGATTCCCTAGGAGTACTCGTACCAGTCAGTGTTTTGTTTGTTTCATGTCTTTTTTAGATTCAGAATCATACAGAATATACATGCGTCCTTCATGGGGTGTGTGGCTGCCCCAGTTTGGTACTCTAGTGGGCCTCAGTGGTTGTCTCGCACTGCTTGCAATTTGGGCCCACGTGGGCGTCGAGAAACATGGGAAGAACATTCGGCATGGCCTGGTGTGGGCAGTAGCCCAGCCGCTGATAGCTGCCGGGTCGTTCGTTTGGGACATGAGCGCCAAGGGCGCCGGCAAAGATAGATGTTGATGTCGGGATGGCATGTGACATGAGCCATCACAGGCAGCATCTTTCGTGAAGATGTTGCTTGGCAACCCCTTGAATCAGCAGCTTTGTTGGCCTTTTATGAGCCCACAAACTTGCAAAGACAGGACCTGCTGAGGAGAATGCCCCATCCCAAAAACCAATTGAGCTATGGCCAAAACATGCCAAAACATCCAAATGGATGGTTTAGTGGGATTACCATTCAGATAAGGATGTGCTACCAGTTCTCCTAAGTCATGAAGTCTGAGAAAAGGATCCTCAAAGGAGGTGATTGTTGGGTGATGCCGATGCTCGTAGGATCCACTTGGACCAGAGCGACACCGCGCCCGACACCACAGGCAGAAGACCAAGAGCTTCCGCGCACGGGCACGCTGGTCACGGAGCAGCCGCCTTGCCGAACCACGCGTGGTGATGAAGACGTGGGGAGAAGACGTGAAGCCTTTTGGGTGGAAGATGATCTGACAGGCGTAGAACGCTGCGAGTATGACATAACGATGATGTAAGATGTGAATCATATATTGATAGTGCATGATATTTTACTATCGTATTACCGAGGGATCTTCAGAAGGCTGTGGAGGTTGAAGACCAAAGGATTGAAGCTGTGTCCACCTCAGATTCCTCAGCTTCATGTCCTAAGACTCGGAAGAACCCTGGTCCCTCACCTTTCTAGTGAGACTTAAGCATCTAAGATCATCTTTCAGGGTGAAACAGTTTGACCACAACTAGTCTTGCTCTTTGACCACATGTGTTGTTTTGGTGCATGTTGTTCCATGAAACAGTTTCTTTGGATGCTCGTTTGCAAACCGGATTGACTTCCAATCCGAACCGCCCAGGACAGCGGCGGAGCCACCCGCCGGCTCGCCCGACGAGGCGAGGCGCTGTGCTGGGCTGGGCCATGTGGTGTCCTGGCTCGGTGTGTGGACCAATCGGCACGGATGAAGCGTATCGGACGAACCGAATCCTGTTTCAACATGTGACACACATGACACACACCAAATGGCCCGACGTCTTGCAGGAATGGTCCGACCCGCAGCATGGTCCGTTTGATGCATCGTTCGTTCCGCTTCGTTCGTTGACTCGGTCCGACCCGCCGATGGCGCCGATGGAATCGTGGGTGGCCGTGGGCCTGGTGGATGCCTGTGGTTGGTGGAATCGTGTTTCAACGCTTTGGGTTTGAAGGGAGCAGGTTGTTTGGGAAACTCCTTAGCTTGTGTACATGTTTGTTTGGTATCAGATGTGCTTTCTGGGTTTTTTGGCAGGATCTCAAGATAGGTGTCAGGTGATCGTTCGCAAAAAAGCAAGCACTTGGTGGTCCAACTCATTGCAAAGCAACCCGGGTTGTTTACATCTTCAATTGGAGAAGGTGAAAACACCTCGGGTGAGTCGCTTTTCACGTCCGACTCACAGAGGTCGCCCCCCTCGTTTCATCGAACGGTCTCACCGGACCGAGTTTTGCGTCGCCGGTCACCGGACGATGCAACGAAGTATTGACCCCTGTTCTGGAGCCCAAACAGGGCCTTTCCTATCAAAACAGGGGTCAAATGGGTTCTAGGTATATAGATATATAATATATACAGTATATATTTGTATATCCAACCCTGTTGGGGTCGACGTTTTGAAACCCCTAAGCACTTGGTCGGATGAAGCATGTTTTTCCCTGCGAGATCTTCTCTCCTTTCCAATGATGGATTTCTATCAACTACTTCTTGCCCTGGTGACACTTGGAACAAACCCGTACAGCTTCTTCCACAAGACCCGAGCTGCATGCAGCCGATCCCGGGATCCTTTTCCAGCTTGCGCACAAGGAAGATGTGCCGATGGAAGGGGTCTCACAGCAGGCAAGGATGGGGGATGGGGCATAAATAACCTATAGGGATGATTTGGAGGCTTCTGTGTCCATAACTTCTGATCTTTCACTCCGGAACGGTGGCAGATCAACACTCAACACACTGTATCAACACATGTCAACCTCTTGAGTTGGTGGTTTTGAGGGGCTCAACAACCTCCATGATGCCAAGGTAGGCTGGTGCTCACCAAGGGCCCACGGGGAAGTAATTCAGAGATACCTCAGCATGAAGTAGAGGACGACAATGTAGAAAATGGAGATTGACTCTGACGTTTGAGAATTGGGCTGTTTGCTTGGAAGAAACCCCTCGATGCTTCTCGGAAAAGCTTCTCCTGCTCCTGACAGGATGGGTGTGCAGTTCCCAATGCTGAGCAGGCAGAGGAGGCGACTGACAGCCTTCCAGTCCAAGACCAGTGTCTCCAGCGACTCGAGTAGGTTGATTAAAGTTTGGGCAGCATGGAACTCGAGTCGTGCAGGGTCAAAACCCTGGTTCTCATCTCGGCGAAAGGATTCAAACCACCAGATTTGCCAGTTGAGGTATACACAGTAGGTGGAGGGGATGATGATGCATGCCACCGTGCAAGATGTGTCAACATTTTTGCTTGATGGTTTGCAGAAGAGTCTAAGTGAAAGAAGGAATCGACCACGGAGTCTAGTATTGGAACGATTAGAGGATACATTGCCCTGAAAGAATGGCCGTTTTGCAGGCCATCCCAAAGTAACTGAACGGCTCTGGCATTCTGGAGCATAAAAAATTGTTGCACCATACTTTGTGTGTGCCTTCCATGCGTTTTTTGTTCGCCGGCTGAAGAGGCAGATGAAGTGCCACCTGACAGAGTTCATAAGGCCGGGAGAGTGGCCCGGCCCGCATGTTGACCGCGACGCGTTCGAACATGGCACGAAGTGAGCCGTTCGATCTTTCCTGTTCTTTCACTGTGATACACTGGCTCAGACTGGTTCAGTCCACAGCTTTGTCGTGTTCCTGTCCAACGCAAGTAAACAATTCGACGCAGCTCGTGTCGTGCTCCCAGTCGTTTGCAAGTCGGAGGCTGACGAAGCACCAAATGCAGTTGCGGATGAGGCACCTATAGAGTCAAAGTGCACGAAGCTTGGGAGGGAAGATTCATTTGCAATCTCTGAAGACGTCATTTGACATCTTGCCACCAAGAGCTGCTGATAGGGTGAACGAGTGGGTGAACGTTTGATGTATGAAAACGCTTGGTGTGGTGCATTGCTATTGCCCGATGCTGAGAGCAACAAAAAATGACTTTCTGTCAACATTCTGGTATTAAAACCCTACAGAATGTCCATGACATTTGTACCTAAAGGACTCTTTTGTAGTTAAAACAGCGAACACATGTTGCCCCCCTCCAGCATGTTAGCCTTCGGAAGGTCGCTGGCCAGCTTTAGTCCTGCTTCCCAGTCTAGTGCGGTAGATGTTTACCATGCTTGACATTCTTCAAGGAGGCATCCTTCAACTGACGTTTGGCTGAATCAGTCGAACCAGCACGGTGACTCTTTCCGATCCTCGACAAGGTCACGAAAACATGCTCACGAGCACCAAGGATCCTTACCCACGAATACAAAGTCTATATTAATATGTTGGCTAGTGTTGTGGATGAAAGTAGATTTAGATCGCAGAATCACACAATTTGCTTGGATTAGTGACTGCGAGGCTGATGATGTGCCAGCCGAAGTGAATGAGGCAGCCGACAAGGCAATGAATTGAACTTGCCACACAATTGCCACGTGTTTGCGCTACCCATGCAAAATCAGAATGGACTTTGTGGCCGTGTTTATTCTTTTTGACCTGGGTGTTCAGGAACATGGCTAGACTATGCTAGACTGGAGTGGTATATTCAACTTCCCCAAGGTCCACCTACATTTGGTTTGTCTCCAGACCAAAGTAGTCGCTTCAGCAAGAGTATGAAGAGTAGTACTTGAATAATCCTGACCGTATTTCCTTATGCGAAGCTGGGGAAAAGGCGGATCGGTGACATGAGTGAGTTGCAAGAATCTGTTGATTGGAGTTTCAACGTGCGATGGACGTACAAATGGTGCTGACAAATGTGTGTAAGCGCACGAATGCATGGCATGCTTCTATCCGGTGCATTCGGAATTGGGGTCCTCTCGCATCTATATATAGTGGAAACCTTGAACCCTTAGAGAAAGGTCATGGGAAAACGGGAAGGCTGTTAACATCAAATGAGGCTTTTACCCCGTTCTTGCAGGTTTCATGAATTCATCTAGTGGACGTCATAGGCATAGCGTTGCGCATCGACGTGGATCTAGAAAGCACTACTGTTAGGCACACGGGCTGTGTGTGTGTGACTGTGACAGCAGGCTGATGATGTGCCAGTCGAAGCTGATGAGGAGGCAGCCGACAAGGCAGTGGAGATGAGCGTGCGACACATTTGCCACATGTTTGTGCTAGCCGCTAGCTATGTGTGAAAAAAAAGAATTGACTCCATGGTCTTTCTTCCATAATATCAAGAGATGATATTGCTATATACAACAATAACAATAACAATAAACATGATATACACACGGCCACTGTCTTCCCGGGAGGTGGATGACACGCCAAGCGAAGCTGAAGAAAAGGCGTGTGGGTGTTGTCAAAATCGCATGGGAGATTCTAGGTATGACGGACCTACAAGTTGTATTGACACACGTATCCTTGTGAATCAGCAAGCTGTTGTTGGCACTTGGGACGAGTTGTTTATCTTGTGTGGGGAGTGAGTGTATATAAGCACATAATAGCACATATATGACAAGCTGTCTGATCAAGACACAGTTCGTCACGTAACGGCCTCCGAGTTGTGGCTCAGACTGCCCCTCTGAGTTTCAGGGTAGGGGGGTCCAGCTGAGCCGCCATGGATCAGGCTGATGAGTTTAGCCTGATTTGCTCTCTGGCCGGACTGAAGGCCAGGGAGGTCCAGCTGCTAGAACAGAGCGGCTGGACGGTGACAAGGCTTGCCACTTTGCACGGCGGCAAGAAGGAGCTCTTCGACGCCGTCGTATGGAAGCTGCAGCAGGTGGAGGCCGACATCGACATCGATGCAGCAATGCTGCGAGAGATTGCTGAGCGTGCGAATGACCGAGCACGAGTGAAGCACATGCTGGATGCCAAGCGAGGAGGCCAAGACTTGCTCGAGGCCCACATCATGCACCAGAGAGCAGTGAGGCAGAAGACGTTCAACAACTACGTGGCCGAGGACGCCAGGTTGAAAGTAGACCCAGTGGGCACAGCAAAGAGAGGAAGGTGGCCCACTCGTCTTAGCATGAAGCTCCACATAGCCTCTTCAGATCTAGCGCTGAGGGAGCTTGCAGAGCGCCAGGAGCGTGAACGTTGGCTGAAGGAGATCCGTGGCATCGTCAAAGCCGCCAATCTCCCTGTGGCTGCAAGGTCATCAGATGAGGCCTTGCTGATCCGCGTGGCGAAAGGCCGGAGGCCGAACACGCTACGCAAGCACGTCAAAACGTGGTGCAAAGCGGCAAGATGGATGGATGCCGCTTTCAACTGCAGTTGGCCGGCGTCGCCGGAACAGTTCGCAGAGTTCCTTGAGGCGATGGTGGAGGAGCCCTGCTCCCGAAGCTTCCCGGAGTCGGTTTTCAAGACCTTGATGTTCTTGGAGCACGCAGGAGAAGTACCGGAAGCAGAGCAGATATGCAGGTCGGCTGCCGTGAAGAATGCACTCGAGGAGGCAGCACACCGACTGCAGGCAATCGAGCAGAAGACGACGAAGAGACAGGCGCTGCTGTTGCCAGTGGCAATCATCGTCTCCTGGGAAGCGCATGTCATGGATGAGTCAGTCTCGAACTATGCCAGGATCTATGCCTGGTTTAGGCTGGTGAAGCTTTGGACGGGCATGCGCTTCGATGACACGAAGGGTGCACCCAGCAGTACAATGGAGCTGCTGGAGTGGGGCCTCAAGGGGATCATCGATCGATCCAAGACCTCGGGGCCAGGGAAGAAAGTGATCCACCTGCCCTTCTACGTCAACAAAGACGCCTGGATCTACGAGAAGGGCTGGTTGTTTGCAGGATGGAGACTTTGGAATGCGATGGGATTGGAGGCAGGACTCCTTTCCCGTGACTTTATGTTGCCCTGGCCGAATAAGGGCATGACGGGTTTCATTCGGAAGATGGTGGACTATCCTATCGCATCCACAATGTCTCAGGCCTTGTTCAACGAAATCAAGACCGGCAAGGGCAGCGAGAAGAAGCTGTTGTTGGAGCCGGGCATGGGTGTGCTGTGGACTGAACACAGCGAACGTGCTACCATCCGCACTTGGGCACAGGCTGCAAGAGTGCCTGAAGACGTGAGGAGAATGATTGGAAGATGGAAACCCTCAGCGGATGAAGGCTACGAGAGGAACGTCCGGACGAACGTGTTGAGATGCCAAAAGGTCCATGGCACACTACATCAAGGAGAACATGGCAAACTCGGATCCCTTCGACGAGACCTCAGTGGTGAGCCTCGTGGCACAGAGGATGGAGGCCATGAGCTACAGCCGGGAGGAGGTAGATGAGCAGTCGTTGAAGCTGCTCACGTTCATGCCGGGTGAAGGTGCAGCAAAGGCTTGCCTCAGGCCACAATGGACCACAACGGGTCCGATCGTTTTGACCGATGAGAATGAGGGCGGCACAGAGGTGAAGCAAGAGCGGGGGCAGATGGCGGACGCAGAGGACGAGCCAGAGGAAGGCAAGGCAGCACCGACAGAGGTGACCCCGCTCGAGAAGGTAGCTGGCATGTATGTAGTGTCAGTGGTGGGCAGGTCAAAGACCAGGACCCTCCACAAGATTGGGGAGTGCCACCGACAGCCGGGTGTGCACTACGCAGTGTACGAGGTACTGGGAGAAGACACTCCCAGTACGAAGCAATACCACCGAGCATGCAAACAATGCTTCGGGAGAGGGGATGCAGCGGCGATGAATGCTCTCGAAGAAGAGACTTCGGGAGATGTTTCCTCGTCGGAGATGTCGGATTCAGAAAGGGAAGACAGCACGGGGTGAGGTGATCAGCGGCGAGTGTACAGCAGCCATCCCGTGAAGCAGACACCGCACGGAGGAAGGTGCGACACGAAACAGTGCCTTGCTGGACAGGGTTGCTGCGAGAGGTGTCGCATGGGCAAAGCGTTGGTTAAAGAGAGTCTATACAATCTAGAGGCAAGTAGGCGAGTCGTTTCGGGAAGTCGTTGCACTGTCGGTCGAGCCATGTTGACAAGGCATAGAGTCATAGAGGTCTGCAGGTTGTGCTTGGCGGTTGGAGCTTGATGATTTGTGTTGTGAAAGGTATAGAGGTGAGAAGGCTATCTGTTGTTGACATGTCATGACGAACAATAGAGATTGACGCATGTGACCAGGCAAGAAGAAACGTGGTAGACCTTTGGGCCCCAGAGAAGAAAGGGGGGGGGTGTGAGTTTGGGCGCGCTGGCGGATAGGTGGGCCGGTGCGTTGGTCGGAGATGGCGGCGATCGGCTTTGATACCGAAGAGCGCCGACGCAATGCGATGCAATGCGATAGCCTTGCTGGACGCAGACCTCCACGGGTTACTACAAGTGAAGGAGGTCGAAGAGGTCCTGCAAGCGAAGCTTTCAGTAGCCAAGGTGAGAAGCATCAGCAGGATGAGCACCGTGGCCGATGATAGGGCAGCCATGAGAAAGTTTTGCGTCGACGTCCTCACCCTGGACGAAACGCGGGATGTTGTTGAGATCGCCTCACTGGTGGACGCTTGGGAGTCGGCCAACACCAGAGTGTCGGTGAGGAACAAGGCAGAGGCGGAAGCTGGAGTGGCTAACATCCCAAAGGCCTTGAGCAAGGTAGAGGTGCAGGAGCTCTTGGTGAAGTTTCAGCGTGTCCATGGGGTGAAGCTCGAGGACCGTAACACCCCAGCTGCGTCAACCCTTGAGCAGATCTTCGATCAAGCAGAGCAAGGGGAGTTCAAGAACATGAGCTTGGTGCAGTTCTTGAGCAGAGAGGACGTAGAGGCTGATGTCTTGGGGGCGACAGTCGAGAAGAGCACCGGGACCCTGAAGATCAAGAAGGGGTATGGAGAGTGCCCAAAACCCAGAAATCCCGAAGACTTCAGGAAGCGCATGGCAGTGGTAGCACACTCCTACCTCATGGCACAGTTGAAATACCCACAGAAGTCAACTCTGCGGGATCTGCAGCCTCAGCACTTTCTCAAGTATCTCGACCTCATGCTGGGCGATCACGTCCTGGGTCTCAAGGCCCGGGACAAGGATGGGCAGGTCATTGCCACCCCGGAGTTCGACTTGATGCTCGCCTACGACTACCAGATCCGTCGTCAGATGGTCAAGTTGGTCAACGAAGGGACATCAATGTCAGATGCATTGAAAGAGGCAATGACGGACACGACCATCAAAGAGCGCCACTTCCTCACGCCCAATGTGTACTCTCAGGTCAGCAATCCCTCAAGTGGCAGGTCAGACAACTATCAGAGGAGGTCCCGCAGTCCAGTGAGGGGCTGGAGGGCTTGGAACGATGAGCGCTGGGAGGCAAGCAAAAGCAAGGGCAAAGGCAAGAAGGGAAGCAGCAAAGGAAAGAACCGTAAAGGGAAGGTGGTGCACGATAGAACACCTGACGGGAGGCAGATTTGCTGGAAGTGGAACAACCCACGAGAGCGCTGCCGCTTCAACTGCGGCCGCCTACATGTGTGCCAGTACTGCTTTGGCAGCCACCCGATGCATGCATGCGACGGATCGGGCAAGAAGGACACGGCCGGAGGAGCGGCCGAGACCAGCAAGTCAGCTTGAAGCAAACAACGGGAAGGGGCAGCCCCGACCCCTTCTCCTTCAGCAAGCACAACGAGGGGCACACGTCACTTTCAGGTGCTGTATCTCTTCAGCGGGGCTTCGCGAGAAGCATCAGTAGCCTCTTTTCTGCAAGAGCTGTCAGCGGGCACAGACATTCAGTTTCACGTGCATGAAGTGGATATTCAGAATTCAGAGCAATGGGACTTGGCAGATAAATCTCGCAATACCACGTGGTGCTGATCACACCACCATGCTCTACGTGGTCACGTGTACGCGGTGCCAATTGCCGGGGCCCTCCTATGATTCGCTCCCGGGTGCACCCCTGGGGCTTTCCATGGTTGTCCAAGAAGCATCTCAAGGACGCAGAACTGGGCAACGTACTCATACGTTTTATGATTGAGGTTCTCAATGTCCTCACAGACCATCCGCTCACCCCGGAGGGCTACAACATTTTGGTCTTCGGGGAGCACCCCGAAGATTTAGGGGTGATTTGGCGTGAGGAGGACAACATGAGGATGGAACCCGCCTCTATCTGGCAGTTGCCTCGGCAGCTGGTGGACAGCAGCAGTCCCTTGCAGTTGTTTACCGTTGTATTCAACCAGTGTTGCTGGGGAGCTCCCTACCGCAAGCCCACCAGGCTGCTGACAAACCTGACTTCTTTACACCAGTGGGGGCCCACTTCTTGGCCCACCTTTGATGGCCAGATGGCCTACACAGGCCCCGCCGTGAATCTCTGCTCATGCCAGCCTTCAATTTCTTTGCCTCGGCCCCCAGACGACCTTTCCTTCCGGACTACAGTGACCTCTATTTACCCTGAGCCTATGGACAGGGCTATAGCAACAGCCATTGTGCATCAGCTGTCTCAAGCTCCCTCTTCAGCTAAAGAAGGGGGAGGAAGGAAGAGGGAGCCGTCGACCACATTGAGTGATTCAAAGGGCAACGAAGAGACGAGCAAAGCAAGGCAAGTTGGCACAGCATTGAGCAAGACAGAGGAGGTGGTGGACTCGCCGTGCAAAGCAACATTGTGCAAAACAACATTGAGCAAAGGCAGGGTCAGCAACAGGCCGGGCGTGGGGCCACCCATGCAAGTCAAGTACAAGGGAGAGCTCAGATCCTTGCACGATGGAGCAGGCCTTTGCTCCCCGGGCAGATGGCCAGTGGGGAGGAGGACTGCCCCGGCGACGGAGCTGGGTCGTGAGCTGGCACGTTGGTGCTTGAGAGCTTTTGAGGATTGGGTGGAGCTCGAAGGTGAGGAGCGGGCCAAGGCCCTATTCTGGAGCACAGCAGGAGGCAAGCACGGGGGCACGCCATATTCGGAGGAGAGATCTATGGCTTCCGTGAAAGGCTGGACCTCTGGTTGAAGGAACGGGGCCTGAATCCTTACAGGCAAAAAGATGACAGGCCCACCAAGATCAACTTCCGGAGGCTCAGAGCAGTGGCTACGGCGTTGTCCGACGAGGACGCCGAGTTCCTAGATGAGGTGGCGGCGACGGGTGTCATGTTGGGGGTCGATGAAGAGATGCCCAGGAACCCCGCCGTGTACGAGGAGAAGGTGAAGTGGACGGTGGAGCAGACGGAGGAGGACTTCCACGACGTTTTCGCGGACAACTACGTCTCGGCGGAAGAGAACGCTGCAGATATAGCACGTCAGGTGCTGGAGGAGGTGGAGAAGGGCACGATCCTCAGATTGCCGGAGTCGGAGGCCAGGCGTCGTTTTGCCGGCAGGCTGGCAGTGGCGGCACTTGGCGCGGTGCCGAAGGAGCTGGGCACCAGCAGGGTGCGTCTCATTCACGATGGCACCTACAGCGTGGACGTCAACAAACGTATTCGGGTGCGTGATCGGATGAGGTTCCCTTTGATCGATGACGCTGCAGCTGTACTTAGGCAGGTGGAGGCGGAGAAGCTCGAGAACAACGAAGTGGTGAGACTCTCCGTGTTGTACGACATTGCAAGAGCTCACAAGTTGATTCCTGTGCGGGAGAAGGACTGGGGCTTGCAGGCATTCAGGCTTCCGGGGGAGACCTCGGGAGACGTTTACGTCCACACTCGGGGAACCTTCGGAGTGGCTAGCGCGGCCTATTGGTTTGGCCGGGCGATTGGTGTGGTCGTTCGTTCCTGCCACAAGCTCATGTGGCGGCACATGGGTCTGCTACATCTGATATATGCGGATGATGGCTGGCTCACTGCAACGGGCAGCAAGTTTTGGAAGAAGATCTTGATGTGGCTTTTCTTGTACGAGTTGTTGGAGATCCCTATCACCTGGAAGAAGGTGAGAGGGGGGGCCGCGGTTGACTGGATTGGCTATCACCTCAATGTGGCCACCTTCGAGAGAGGCATCAACGAGTCGAAGAAGGCTTGGATCTTGAATTGGATAGGAGACAAGTTGCTGCAAGGTGGTGTCGTGGGCCGGGAACTAAAGTCAGTTCTCGGCAGATTGTCCTTCGTGGCTCGCTGAGGCACGTCAGGCCGTTCCTGGCGCCGCTGTTTTCGTGGTCGGCCACGCTGGCGGGAGGCACCTTCTCCAGCTTTCCAGATGCGGTTGTCATCCTGCTTGAGTATGTCAAGGAGGAGGTGTCGAGAAAGCCGGTTCGCCGGCTGGAGCCACTACTGACTTCGCCTGTCGATATATTTCGGGTGGACGCGAAGGCTGCCGGGGAAGACATCGTTATAGGCGGCTGGGAGACTTGGAAGGCGGCTTCACAGAAGGACGCCAGATGGTTCTCCTTCAGGCCCTGGGCTTACCTGCGTGGCGATCCTTTCCGTGCAATAGCGAGTCTTGAGTTGGTGGGTGCGCTGGCTGCTGTGATGGTTTTCGCGCCGGGTTCCGATTGGGCCGAGGGCGACGCAGTTGTTACATTGAGTGCATTGACAGACAACCTTGGCAACACCCACGTCCTGAAGAAGTACGGCAGCAGTCGCTATCCTCTTAGCATTATCGCCATGGAGCTGGCGACACAGCTGGATAGAAAAGGGGTCGATCTGGATCTTCAATGGGTGCCGAGATGGCAAAACCAGGAGGCAGATGACTTGACCAATGAGCGCTTTGATGACTTCGCCGAGTCCAATAGGATAGAGGTACGGTTTGAAGAGCTGAAGTTTCTGGTCATGGACCGCTTGCTTGAAAAGGCTGGGGAGCTCGATAAAGAGCTCAAACTCTACAAAACTTCGAAGGAGGCGAAGATGGCAACCAGGACGCCAGAGGACGGGCCTAAGAGGGCCAAGAAGGGTCAACTTCGCTGGCAAGACCCTGGGTGACGAAGGCGCGGGGTCGAAAGTGTCGTCGGCTTCTCCTCACGTGTTCAATGTAGTTAGGAGAGTGGGGAGCGTGCGGTCCTCACTAGTAGGCTAAAGTGGGGGGAAAGACTCGTGAGACCATAGCATAGCAGCTCTACGAAGGGTAACGTAAGAGCTTGGTAAAGGGCTGTGGTCTGATCCACGACTATCCATTGAATAAACAATGGGTAGAGCGTCTCACTCAGCACTCAGGTTCGCGCAACCTCGAAAAGAATGGCTTCCTGTGTGAGTGCAGTGACATATATATATATTCAAAATAATGCATGGCATGGGGTCCTCTCGCATCGTGGAAACCTTGAACCCTTAGACGGACTTTGGGAAAGGTCATGGGAAAACGGGAAGGCTGTTAACATCAAAAGAGGCTTTTGCCCCGTTCTTGCAGGTTTCATGGATTCATCTAGTGGACGTCATAGGCATAGCGTTGCGCATCGACGTGGATCTAGAAAGCACTACTGTTAGGCACACGGGCTGTGTGTGACTGTGACAGCAGGCTGATGATGTGCCAGTCGAAGCTGATGAGGAGGCAGCCGACAAGGTAGTGGAGATGAGCGTGCGACACATTTGCCACATGTGTGTAAAAATAAAGAATTGACTCCATGGTTTTTCTTCGATAATATCAAGAGATGCTATTGCTATACATAACAATAACATTTATAAAATGATATACACACGGCCACTGTCTTCCCGGGAGGTGGATGACACACCAAGCGAAGCTGAAGAAAAGGCGTGTGGGCGTTGTCAAAATCGCATGGGAGATTCTAGGTATGACGGACCTACAAGTTGTATTGACACACGTATCCTTGTGAATCAGCAATCTGTTGTTGGCACTTGGGACGAGTTGTTTATCTTGTGTGGGGAGTGAGTGTATATAAGCACATAATAGCACATATATATATATATTCAAAATAATGCATGGCATGCGCATTCGAAATTGGGGTCCTCTCGCATCGTGGAAACCTTGAACCCTTAGACGGACTTTGAGAAAGGTCATGGGAAAACGGGAAGGCTGTTAACATCAAATGAGGCTTTCACCCCGTTCTTGCAGGTTTCATGAATTCATCTAGTGGACGTCATAGGCATAGCGTTGCGCATCGACGTGGATCTAGAAAGCACTACTGTTAGGCACACGGGCTGTGTGTGTGACTGTGACAGCAGGCTGATGATGTGCCAGTCGAAGCTGATGAGGAGGCAGCCGACAAGGCAGTGGAGATGAGCGTGCGACACATTTGCCACATGTTTGTGCTAGCCGCTAGCTATGTGTGAAAAAAAAGAATTGACTCCATGGTTTTTCTTCGATAATATCAAGAGATGATATTGCTATACATAACAATAACAATAACAATAAAAATGATATACACACGGCCACTGTCTTCCCGGGAGGTGGATGACACGCCAAGCGAAGCTGAAGAAAAGGCGTGCGGGTGTTGTCAAAATCGCATGGGAGATTCTAGGTATGACGGACCCACAAGTTGTATTGACACACGTATCCTTGTGAATCAGCAAGCTGTTGTTGGCACTTGGGACGAGTTGTTTATCTTGTGTGGGGAGTGAGTGTATATAAGCACATAATAGCATATATATATATATTCAAAATACTGCATGGCATGCGCATTCGAAATTGGGGTCCTCTCGCATCGTGGAAACCTTGAACCCTTAGACGGACTTTGAGAAAGGTCATGGGAAAACGGGAAGGCTGTTAACATCAAAAGAGGCTTTTACCCCGTTCTTGCAGGTTTCATGAATTCATCTAGTGGACGTCATAGGCATAGCGTTGCGCATCGACGTGGATCTAGAAAGCACTACTGTTAGGCACACGGGCTGTGTGTGTGACTGTGACAGCAGGCTGATGATGTGCCAGTCGAAGCTGATGAGGAGGCAGCCAACAAGGCAGTGGAGATGAGCGTGCGACACATTTGCCACATGTTTGTTAAAAAAAGAATTGACTCCATGGTTTTTCTTCGATAATATCAAGAGATGATATTGCTATACATAACAATAACATTTAAAATGATATACACACAGCCACTGTCTTCCCAGGAGGTGGAATACGCACCAAGCGAAGCTGAAGAAAAGGCGCGTGGGTGGGTGTTGTCAAAATCGCATGGGAGATTCCAGGTATGACGGACCTACAAGTTGTATTGACACACGTATCCTTGTGAATCAGCAAGCTGTTGTTGGCACTTGGGACGAGTTGTTTATCTTGTGTGGGGAGTGAGTGTATATAAGCACATATATAATAGCACATAATAGCACATGTATATATATGCAAAATAATGCATGGCATGCTTCTATCAGGTGCATTCGAAATTGGGATCCTGTCACATCTATGTAGTGGAAGCCTTGAACCCTGAGATGGACTTTGAGAAAGGTCATGTGAAAACGGGAAGGCTGTTAACATCAACTGAGGCTTTTACCCCGTTCTTGCAGGTTTCATGAATTCATCTAGTGGACGTCATAGGCATAGTGTTGCGCATCGACGTGGATCTAGAAGCAGTGTGACTGTGACAGCAGGCTGATGATGTGCCAGTCGAAGCTGATGAGGAGGCAGCCGACAAGGCAGTGGAGATGGATTTGCCGGGTTTTGCCCCATTTCAATGTTGGGGCTAGGTGGATTGAAAGAAGCCCGCATGTTTATGTTACTCTTTTTGCCAACTAGCTCAGACGACGTCACCTGATCAGTGTGTTGTTTGCAAGGCTGATGACAATGTACTGAAACAACCTAAGGAGGAGGCCCATGGTGGACGTGGTTGTTTGCGGCAAACATTTTTAAGCTCAATTAGAGGGTCTGAACGAAATATATATATATATGCCATCATATGCCTTTGAAGATCAGGAATGTGCAAGTCACGACTTGCTGCAAGGTATAGCGCGACCACAACTAATTGGTCTTCTGATTTGTTTCAAGACTAGTTAGTTGGCGTTTGCAGTTGAACCGTGGGCTTCCATAGAACCGGCAGTTGTAAGTCGTCTCAGCATCAAAGGGGGGGTCATGCCGCTGCTTTAAGAAATGAATCGTTCATTATGGTTCCAAGGGCGCAGAAACATGCAGTTGTCCGGAGATGTTTAGCATTGTTTAGCAAACTCTTTTTTGTTTCGGAGGATCACACAGCTGGGAGGTGGGAGGTGTTTTGTTTGGTGGGTGTTCCAGCCGTCTATGACTTTTCGAAGGCTCTTCTCAGAGGAAAAGGCTTTTCAGTTGTTCATGGCTGCAGTGGCAGGCTGATGACATCGCCAAGGCTGACGAGGAGGCAGCCGACAAGGAAACGCAGTATGCATAGGTTGTTTCATAGTTACCTTAAGATGTTCTGGCTTCTCAAGATACAGACAGATACCTGTGATGGTTTTCGGTGGGTTCACATCATTTTCACCTAATGCGTACGTGGTCAAAGACAAGCAAGGCCGATGATGACGTGCCGAAAGAAGCTGAGGATCAGGCACGTGGCACGTGAAGCCAAAAATGAGCCACTGGACACAAGTGCTGTTGCACTCGTTTCTCACGTTCATGGGAAGCATTTGCCTAATTGAAAGAATCTGTTGCATTCAGGGATAGTTCGAGTCCTTGCGACAGCTTCCGAGCGGGAACTTGACGCACTTCCAGAATTGTGCGAAAGCCCTGAAACTCATGACTACCGTGTTCTACTTCGAATGCACTCATTTCTCAAAAAGGCAGTTGTCCGAACATTTCGCTAGTTACTAGTTTGTTTGGTGTTCGTACTCCTTTGAAGGACAAACATTGGAAAAGAGTTTCCATGTGAGACATTGATCAGTTGCCTCAAGCGGCAGGTGGGTGATGCGCCGGCCGAAGCTGAGGAGGCCGCCGACGAGGCACTCGGCCATCACCGCAGGATTTGGGATAACCTCATGCTCGTGTTCGCGATATTAGCAGTACTAGCACTGAAAGTTGCATGAAGACCTTGCAAGCAGCTTCGGTTGAGAAAGGGTTGTTCAGGAACTTTGCCCGATGTTCACTAACTAGTGATTTATATAGGCTGAATCTGATTTTCCCCTAACTAATGCTTTGATATCTATAGGCCTATATGATATATGGGCTGGATCCCCAAGTGCATCACCTTGTTGGATCCCGGCAATTTGCTGCACCGAGCTGTTCAGGACATGCCGAAGGTGGAGCAGACGGAGGAGGCGAAGCGGCAGAGCAAAACCTGGGAACCCTGATCGACCCCAGGTGAAATGAACGGATTTTGCAAGGATTTTGGGATGTCAAGCTACCCTGGTTTGCTTGAAGTCTTGACCCACACCCAATTCACCAGTAGGAACACACCCAATTCACCAAAGCCGCCGGAGCCGAGCGCTCGCGTGCAATGTCAATTCGCAACATGTTGGGAGGGCTTTCCCCAAAAACAGGGGTGTGTTTTCCACCGAGCGGCTGTTCCTACCAGAGCGGCTGTTCCTACCAGAGCCTTCAGATAGGAGCTGTTCTGAGCTGAGGAGCGGTTAAACTGTACACAGCGCTGAACTCAAGATGAACGGAAGCTGAACTCACTTCACCTGGCGAAGTCCGGTCATTAGCCGATTCAGAAACTAACCGATCAGGCAACTACGATTCAGAAACCAAAACAGCCGATTCAGCAACTACGATTCAGAAACCAAAATGGCCGATTCAGCAACTACGATTCAGAAACCAAAACAGTCCGATTCAGAAACCAAAACGGCCGATTCAGAAACCAAAACGGCCGATTCAGAAACCAAACTGGCCGATTCGGAAACCAAACTGGCCGATTCAGAAACCAAAATCGTGCC